AAAAAGAGAAAATCTGCCACTCTTATTCAAGAGTAGAAATTTTTCACTCTTTTTCAATAATGGCAGTATTTTAACTCTTTTGGAGTGAGATTTCATTCTAAGAAATATTTAGGGAGTATGAAACTTTATAAACATGGAAATTTTTGTGTATAATATATCTTACTCATTTAATGATAATAAAATTACTATTAAATTTAAATACACATAATTATAATTTGTATTATTAAAATAAAAATTATTACTCTTTTCTTTTCTTCTATTTCCTTCTCTTTTTCTTTATATTTAATTGTATATCACAGTTACGTTTTCGTAAGATGTATTATAATAAATGTATTCTATTAAATAAGTGTATATTATGTTAATTTTAATAAAATTAGATATTACTTGAACTTAAATATCTTATATTCAATATTACTAATATATGTATATATATTCTATTGAATTTAATCCAATTGTACAAAATGTTTTATAGACACATTTTTTAAATAAAAACTTTAATATAATTTATTTTGTAGTATTATTCAATATTACTAAATTTATACATATACACATACATCCTCCTTATAATTTATATATTAAAATAAAAATTATTCTTTTCCCTCTTTTTATTTCCCCACTCTCTTATTTACATCTGAGATATTGCAATTGCGATTTAGTAAGATGCATTATGATAAGTGTATAATATTAAAAACTTATAAGAGTCAAGGCACGAATTGAGATATGCTTCAAATCGAGCGTTTCCAATGGCGCACTTTGATTTCAGTAACGAGAAAATAATGTAAAAGTTAGACGGCCTTCTCCGCAGTACGCACTATGCCACGGTCACGCTTTTTACGCTGATGAATCGATAAGCTCTGGGAATTTATGAGACCGAACTAGAGCGCATATCGATACGTCCGTTCGCGCGATCAATCGGACCTGCAATATTATCGAGATGTACGATTGCGATCGACAGCTGCACATATCGTGACGACTGCGCAGCGCGACTCGGCGAAATTTAATTTCGAATAATAATCTGCGGTCGCGCATGACGGAAAAGTACGAGAATATTACCGATATTACATTATCGCCGAAATTTCATTCCAGTAATAATATCGCGGTCACCAATGGAAAAGTGAGAATGTTACTGATATTGTATTGTCCGTTGGAATTTAATTTTGACAATAATCCCGTGATCACGATGTACAGCCAAAAATATACGGCTAATATTAAAACGTTGACAGCGGTCAGAGAAGAAATTTAGCGTAATTTAGCGGTATCCATTATAATCGTGTGTTTATTATCAACGTTAATATCTACTACATATCTACTACTATGTTTTACATTATTTGCAATGTGATGAACGTGTATCTAGTGTGTGAGTTTACTTTTGAACAAGATATATACATTTATTTCAATTCCACATATTTTGCAAAATCTTTTCATTCTTCACATTTTTATAAATTATTATCTTCAAATTAAAGGTTATTTATAAATATACTTCGTGATAAGCTACGAATATTCGTTATGCTATTTAATTCCATGGCTGCTTTTTTGAAAACTTATTGAGGGACCGCTTTGTTATATGATAAATCGATAGATATTCAATCACGCTATTACACACCGCCGAACAGCTCGAATGCGCGCGAAATTGATGAAAATACGCGGCGCGAAATCGCATTTCAGTTAAAACCCATCGGCTCTTACGCGCGCTGTAAATATGCGTGATACCGGTAATTATTTCGTTCTCTCGGTGCACCCTTCGTCGGCCGGAAATCCGCTGCAGTTAATGCGGACAATAAAACCAGTCAGTTCGACTGCCGTAATAATATTTGAGGCCCGAAAACGTGTCGACCAAACTCAATTTGCCGGCAATTCGTCGATCAGTGCGCTGTCGTCCGCGATAATCCATGGACGTCATAACTTTTACGAATTTCAAAATCATCACGAACGTGCAACTGAGCGCGATAATGAACTTTTACACGGGACATCTCAAAACTGTCGAAATATTTTTCGTGACCATTTTCCAGGGATAACAAACCTATATGAAGTTGAATAAACAAAACTGAAGATACGCACTTTTTGAACTTATGCAGAATACATTATATATATATATAAAAAAAACGCTTTGCGTTTTACTAAGAGGAATTCTAGTATAAGAAGAATTCTCTCACTAATCAGATTTTCATTAAAAGAAATTCAAATTTACTTAATGAGATATACAGATGACAAATGTACTTATACCAATGAAAATTAATAAATCATATTTTCCATGGCGGCGAAGAGATCAAACAGCATGAATTCAAAGCCACTAAATTCTCAATTTAACTCTTGTATAGTACTCTCATGTATTATTGGACTTGAATTCGTCGGTACTTGAACAAAATTTCATTTGGCTAGGATAACCATTAATTATGCACACATATTAAATGGTGGGCAGTACATTTCAGTCTTTACATTAGCCACTTGATCATAATAGCGGATATATTTAATCAATTTATTTAACTTATTAATAAATGAATACTAAATAATATCCAAAGAGTGATCATAAAAATAAAAAAAAGATAACTTCAACACTTCAACGATAAGGAAATCTTAATTAAAAAATGTAAGAAATATCAAATAATTATTAATGCTACTTCTCGATACAAAACATCCCATAACTTATAAAAATGTTAAACATGTTTAAAGGCGTAAAAAAATAATAATTAAGAGCTATATATATATTTATGCACGTAATTAAAAATAAGAAAGAGCTTTCTATTTCCAATAATGAGAAAATTTAATCTTCTTTTATACGTAATAATGTAGCGAAAATCCGTAATGCATTGTATTATCTTCCTCAGTATCCTGATTTTGTAATTTTTGATAGCGTTGATATCGTTATCTACATTGCGATTATGCGAATATTAATTATTGTATATGATAAATAAAGCTACAATGTAATAATACCAATAACTGTCATTGAGAGTATTTATTTTAGAATCAAAGTACAGAATTTATTTAAAATTAGCTATCGATATGTAAATTTTACGTACAAGTGAGCAAAGTTATTTAGCGCTAAGTTATGCCTTCAGTGATTACAGGAAATCTGATCTGTCGTGTTAAAAACTAGAATAAACGGAGACAAGTTCTTAAAAATTCTGTCTTTTATATATCAATTTAGATCTTCAATTTAGGTCAATATTATACAAGAAAGAG